CTCTCTCTCTCTCTCTCTCTCTCCACATAGACAAATTTGTACCTACCCCATGGAGGCATTGCCCCATGGGATGAAAATGAATTTCATCTCAAAATCTCTCCAAAGTCTAAGTTAAATGTACTTCTCATGATGCGCTAATTTATTTTATTTTTTTTTAAAATGACAATTGCGTGGTCTGTTTTCTTGTCAAACGTCGTTACACTCTAGTTTGTCTTACTTTGTGGTTTTAATCCTTTTTGTGTGGCCTGGCATTTTTTATATCTTCATATGATTTGTAGATTTGTCTTTTATGTTTCAAAGGGCACAAAAATCACTCAATTACAAATTTTATACAAAAAGTTATGTCAGATTGTGCATGTTTTTTGCGTCCAATTTCTGCAACGACTTAATATTTTTTTTGGCTTATTACCGTTTTATAAAATATCATTTTTGGACTTTGAGTCTTCACCAAACTTGCAGATATGCCTCTTGGTGTTATGTAGGATAAAGAATTAGCACTATACACATTTTATATTAAAAGATATGCTCCAATTTTAAATGTCACGTCCAGTCCCAGCGACTAGTGCCAAGCCAGCAGCATCCTAGTGGGCCAAACCCCTATTGTACAGTCGCAACACCTAGTCGACTCGAGAAAACCAATTAGCCAAGTCGGGTTTTACCGTGAAGCGATCTGGCCGGTTCAGACAAGTTCAGAACCTTGTTTCCCGAGCTGTAAGTTAATTTATGCGAAAATTATAGTTGAGCTAAGAAGAATTAGTAAAAAAGATAATTAAATCATGACTTTTTAGAATTTAATTAACCAATTAAATTCGCATATAGTTGAGCTAAGAAGAATTAGTAAAAAAGTTAATTAAATCATGAATTTTTAGAATTTAATTAACCAATTAAATCAAGAATTTTAATAATCTTTTAATTAAAATATTATATGAAATAAATGCTTACACTTGTAGATTAAGAGAAGTCGAGCCCTCAGAAGCTCCATCGAGCATTTATTCATACATCAACATTCGAGGTGGGGTTTTCTATACTATGTCTTATTCTTTATAGTCGCATGATATTGTGGTTGAGGTATGTATGTGAATATTTTGCCTGTTATGCACAATTCCTGAGAGGGGCATCAATGAGATCTCCTGTTGTCATACGGGCAACATCCCATGTATGTGACGGTAAAAAGTGTGTCCACATGAGAGAGTCGTCCGATGTCGAGTGGGCAACATCCCATGTATCTGCGGATGAATATAGTTGAGACCAATTTATTCATGTTCATGTTAATATTATGGTAGCCGATCAGATACTAGCCATGACAATCGTAATTAATTTGCCAGGGTACCCTGCTAGCCGCAGTGTCACTTCATTGAACTATCATCGTAGATAGTCGTATGCCTTCTCAAGATCAATTTTAATAACCATATATCCCTTTGCTACCCGCAAGTGATTACAACAGCGATTCTGTTGTAGCAAATTATTTTTTACTGAGTACCGAATCAAAAGATTCGTTCCCCGGGTCGATCTCCCGAGAAAGACGGTTTGAAATTTAGCGTTGGTCTTGCTCATACATGAAAAGAAAATAAGTCCTAAACACTATAATCGCGATTAATTTGGTGAATTACTAAAATAAGCTAGAACTAGAAAAACAATTTAAAGAAATAACAATTAAATTTCTAGAGAAAAAGTAGTTCTAGGGGTCGAAAAATTTCATCAAGTCATGAACTATGTTGAACGGTTGTTTGTTCGGTAACGATATTTAACAAGCCAACACGTCTAGAGGGCTATGCTCAATAACTCTTTGTAACAAGAGCACATACATAAACGATAAACTCATTTAAACAAGCAAAACATAGACAATACTTTTACGAACATGTCTACTCTATACGAGCCTATATCGACCGACGTCTCCCCTCACAGTTCTAAATGTCGATTAACTTGGTTATAATGGTCATCAATCAACTAACCCTATAATTCACGCAACTCGCATAGATTGAACAAAATACATTCCTCATAATTCAAAACAAGAATCAAAATCCCTAACCATAGGCGAATGGATTGTCTCATGCTTAGATTCAATCCCATGTTAACTGGAATTAATAACATAAAACCAATCAACAATAATAAAATAGAATTTAAAAACTTACAATCGGATTAAGACTTGCAAGATTTCAATCCAAATGTCTTTGTGTCCAACAATCCAAGCATGAGAGAAAAAAAAAAAAAGCGGAGAAAATTATCCTAACAATATGAGTTTTTGGAGAGAAACTTGATGAAAACAAGTTTGGGGATGGAATAATATGCCCTAGGTCCAAAATTTGTAGTTAAAATCCCGCATTTCGAAATTCGCGTAGTTCGCGAGTCGCATATTATCACTTTCCTCGGTCACGAGTCGCGCGTCGTCAATTTCTTCAAAATCAGGGGTTGGTCGCGACTTAACTCGCGAATCGTGACTCGAGCTCAAAAACTACTACTTCAGGCTCTGTTAAAGTTGCGAGTCGTGACTTTGCGCTCGCGAGTCGCGACTTTGCTCTCGCTAATCGCGACTTTGGACTGCACTGCGCTATTTTACCTTTTGGCCTCGTTTGAGCTCGTCCGAACTTGGAATTGGGTTCCATTTTTTCCTACGCGTAGCTAACGAACTCATCTATCCAATTATGATCTCGAAACCAATTTATCCTGAAGAGAAAATTCGCTCGAAGCTCCCGACCCACACACCAAAAACGACAAAACACAAAAGAAAACCTAAAAAACAAACGAAAAACACCTCAAGACTAAAAAGGAAGAATAACACATAATAAAACACGAAACAGACTAAAAACTAAAGAAATGACCTAAAACGGGAGAAAAAAAAGATAAAATAAACACGAAAAACGCAACAATAATGAGACAAACAGATTCTGAGCAATATTTGCTTAAGGAATAGAGAGATTTGTTTTACTTCTTGGGCGGAAATCTGCTTCGAAATCTGATGATTTTTTTATCGAATAAGAAGGGAGAATAAAATTTCCGACGAGAACAAGGTTCTCTTTATTTGCTCACGGCGTAACAAAAGAAAAGGGAAGGATAATAGATTGAGGGTTTTCTGGTGGTTTGGGACGAATATTAAAGCTCATGGGCCGAGAATTTCTCTTAATTGGGCCGCAAAATTAGCTAAATGGGCTGAAAAATTTAGGCTTACTAATGGTCTCGAACAAATTCTAAGGAACGAGAATTAAATTCGACGAAGCCGAAAATGAACTCAAAACGAACGACAACAAATGAACTGAAAAAATTCAAATAAATTTGGTTTCTCTCTAAATAACTAAATCGAATAGAATCGAAAGGCTAACGAATATCCGATAATTCGATAGTTCGAATAATTTTAATAGACACACTACAAAAAAACCTCTTACATTCCAACGGAAATTTTCCGTTGGAATTCTTTATATATCCGTTGGAATAGATATTCCAACGGATATTCCAACGTATAAAAATTTGTGGGAAAAACGGCCGTTGGAATAGCTAAAATCCAACGGAAATTCCTATGGAAATAAATTCCTACAGCTATTCCAACGGAAAAATTCCGTTGGAATTCCTCAATCATCCAACACTTTTTCCAACATAAAATTAAGTTTGTTGGAATATTCATTGGAATTTCCAACGGAATTTTTTGCCGTTGGAATTTTTCGTTGGAATTGAAGTGTTTTCTTGTAGTGACACTAATGTCTAAATAAATTATTTCTCTTAACAGACTAAGTAGACACTGGCGTCTAATTGATCTGTAGAACTTGTCGAGCTAGAAAATTAAAATGCAGCGCTATTTGCATAAATAAAATAAATTATCGAAATGTCTTTAATATTCGATTGGGGCGCTACGATTCAACCTATTATTTTCTAGGCACGGAAGAAGCTCTCATTTAATATCCTCCGGCTAACTACTATTAATTTGTTGAAGAATGAAGTTTGCCATTTCGAGTATATTCCGGTTCAAATTTTTGATTTTAAACTGTGTTACGTATGTTGACTTGAATAACACTCCTTACAATTATAAAATCAAACTCAGAATCCACGGTTGAGATTGTTTTCCAAATGGAAAACAATATATTCCACAAATCCAACGGCCAGATGACCTTGACCAGTCGATGAGTTCGGTAGCACTAGCAGCGTTTGATTTTGTTTGTTTACTTTAAATGTCGTTAACAGTTACGTGCTCCATTTTTGCCGGCAAGTGCCACCTTTGGACACGTGGGTCCTTCCAATTGGCCGTCTAGTTTCCGGTACGCGTTCCAATGCGTGTCATTATAGTCATTTAAAATTCTACAGACGCTGACAATAGAATAGAGAATTGTTCAAATTCAATAGCAAAAGCAGATTCTGTTTTATAGAATAATAGTATTTGCCTTTTTACTATCTTCAATTGTTTGAGCTCAATAAAAGAATTCCTTGAGAATTTTCTTGTTCAGCAACAAGAATTTGATTAATTAATACCTTTTTTGTTTTCTTCTTCTTTCAATTAAAAAAGATAAATGGCTGTGAAGAAGATAAATGGATATCCTGAAGGCACTCTGCCTGAGGAGCTACTTAAGCTGCTACAATCAATAGCCTCGAACCGGGGAAATTCGATGGATATTGCAAATCTAAAGGTTGTTCAGTTGAGCGGGGCGATGACAAATGAGATATACCGAATAAGCTGGACCACAGACTCCGATGATGATCGTCCAAACACAGTTCTTGTCAGAATGTACGGTGAAGGGGTCGACCACTTTTTCGACCGTGACGATGAAATTCGGACCTTCGAGTGCCTCTCGGCAAACGGTCACGGCCCTAAACTCTTGGGCAGGTTTCGTGAGGGGAGAGTCGAAGAGTTTATTCATGCAAGAGTATGTGTTCAAGTTCAACTAACTGCCCATTCTATTCTAACATTTTTTTTCGTTTTTTCTTGAAAAAAAAAGAAAACGTCGACTTTTGCTGATATTTGCGGACACCAAGTATTTCGCAGACTCTATCGGCAGCAGACCTTCGCGATCGAGAAACATCTGCTCTAATAGCTTCGAAAATGAGAGAGTTTCATAATTTGGATATGCCTTCGCCCAAAAACGTTGTCTTGTGGCAACGGTTAAGGTTTGTATCGAAAGAATTCATTTGCTAAGCCAAAGCAGAGTTTGAGATCACTTATTAAATCCAAAAAGGGATTTTATTTTATTTTATTATTTTTATTTTTTTTTTTGGCAGAAAATGGGTGAATGTGGCGAGAGATTTGTGTTCGCAAGAACATGTAAAGGAATATCGGCTCGACAGCTTAGACGAAGAAATCAGCTTACTAGAGAAGTTCGTATCGCGGGACGGGCAAGAGATTGGATTTTGCCATAATGATTTGCAATACGGTAACATTATGATCGATGACCGGAATAAAACCATCACCATAATCGTATGTTTTTCCTTCTCTTTTTGGGCACAAATTAAGTGCTGGGAATGCACTGTATATATAAGTTTCCTTCTGAAATTGCAGGATTATGAGTATGCGAGTTACAATCCGGTGGCGTATGATATAGCAAATCACTTCTGTGAGATGGCCGCAGATTATCACACGGATACGCCTCACGTCTTGGACTACGATAAATATCCCGGTTCGTAAAGATTGTTAATAGCCTCTGTTTTTTGATGTTATTGTGTGATATTTGAAGTATATTTTTGTTGGGTTGTGGCAACAAACAGGTCATGAGGAGAGACAAAGATTTATAAAGCAATACCTCACCTGTGCAGGTTGGTTTTCTCAGTTCTTTTAGTTTTACAAAAAAATCAGCCCTGAGGTTTAACCTGATTACATCAACAGACTTAATTTTCTTTCAAAATTTCT